ACTGGGATTAAACATGACAATAGGTCTGATCTGATTTCATCATCATTTAAAAAAATCATTATTATTTTTCACTTTATGTTTCTGTGTGGGAGCAAACTGTTGAAATCTTTACTTAATGTATGCTAAACTGATCTTCTGTATATAAAGAGAATCGAAAATGAATCCTCATGTTAATGGAAGGGGAGAGGGAGTGGATAAGGGGAGGGTTGCGGGTGGGAGGGACGGTATGGGGGGGAAGCCATTGTAATCCATAAGCTGTACTTTGGAAATTTATATTCATTAAATAAAAGTTTAAAAAAATAAAAAATGAATTATTCAGATATAGCATGACATCATATTATAATTGCTACAAGTAGAAATTAGTAATTTATATATACAATTCTAAGCAGACATAGGGGAAATTTTTGAATAATATTCCCAAAATAATATTTACAAAAGAGTACATAATTACAGAAATATACATCAAGACCAATTCTTGTTATCTAGCATAATAATTCTAAAGGAAATATAGAAGTGTGTCAATCTAGTACGTACAAATTTTCAAGTCCAACATTGCATTATGTGTACCATTAAAGCCACAAAATGTTCTAAAGCACATGTATTCTTGGAAGGGTTAAAGGATCCACTATTTCAATATGGTTTTCATGAAATGCACACATGACAGTTCTGATATGATGTATGTAATACTGTTTGAAATGGTGAACTTGCAATAAAACCGGCACGAAAAGCTTAAGAGTTGTTGGGAGCCATTGTGCTGGGTTCCCTGTATAGGCCTTTGTTTAGATTAACCTTCAACTGTGTTCCTGTAAGGAGGATTCACTAGAAAATTCCATTTGTACAGCTCACTGATATGGTTAGTGCTTGGCCATCTGGCTTCAGTGCTCTCTTTCTTGTACCTTGATAAGCATGTCTGGTAGCTGTAAGACCTCACTGTAACTCCCTTTGTCAAATTGATGCTGATTCCTGTGAAATTCTTCCTTTGAACTATGTTGTAAGATGACCCCTGCTTGCCCTCGACTGTTACAATCGTTGCCTTGTACTATATAAGCTGCCTCCTTCTCCAATAAAGTGAGACCTTGATCAGAGTACTGTCTTGGTCTCCCTCCTCGTGTCTGGTTTGTCTCTCCATTCAGGTCTGCCCTCCTCGTGTCCTAGCTGATTACCCCGTGGGCTGGGGCAAGAGTAAAAGGCTAATACTTGATTTTCAAGGAGGATGGATGATAAATATAGGTGAAAACAATAAAATGCAATATAAAATAAGTAAGACTGGGATGCACAAAACATGATAATTTTTTTTGAATTCCTGTGAATAGACATGAGTCATTTGGTAGAAGCAATAATAAAATAACAAATACATACACAGGAAGTAAAGGAACATATCAATTAAATTAGCTTTAAGGAAGAATAATAACAAAGTTTTCATAATTTAAACCAAGAAACCAGCTCTCATCACAAATTCAAGTTAATGGAATGGAAGTATACAGAATTGCACTTTGGGAAATAAAATAACCAAGGTCAATGTTTTTTCCATATAATCCAAAAATTGTTAGATATACATTGCATAAGGAGACTGTGTGCAGTTATTTCTGAAAAATTATGAACATGAAAACTTATCAGACACTTCAAGAAAGGATATGAGGTGGTGACCTCACAGTGAAAAGCAAGCCAAGGTAAGCCCAAGTCCCCTATGCTAATATTGCAAAAAAATAGTTTGGTAATGATATACACAAGTGTTATGGAGGTGTAAATAATCTTTTCACAGGCAAATCAAAACCAGCAATGAATCACATGTAATATTATACATTTTATTTACTTTTGTAATTAGAAATTAGAACTTTGGGGAGGAAATGAAAGAATCTCAAGCACATGTGATGGATATTATTGAAAATATTTACAAAATTTTACTTACAAAAATACAAAATTTGCAGGGACTTAAACTAGAAATGTTTATGCTACTCAGCAAAATAACTTAGAAGTATTCCAGTATGTATTATTCAATAATTTAAATTATTAAATTTAAAGGAAAAATATGGGCACAAAAATCTGCACTTTGTACAATTTCAAAAATTTAATATAGTTTAATTTTTAATTCTCTAAATATTCACAAAATATATATAAATTTCCTGTCAATTAGCCTGACAGCACTAGGAGATGGCACTATGGCACCTAGAAGATTATGAGGAACTATGAACATGAAAGTTACTAAGAAACCATCATCCAAAATATACAGGGATGTGATGACATCACAGTGAAAAATGACAAATATCATGTTTTCTCTGATATGTAATGGCTAACATACAGAATAAGAAACAAATTTATTGTACATGAGTGAAACTGACATCTGGGGATTTGATTGCTGTTTACAGTCCTTCTCTATACTCCTGTAAACAGTGGTCCTTCTACTTTTGATTCCTCAACTCTTTATTTAGTGGAGCGCTAAGCCTGGGACTATAAAGTCAATAAAAATGTTACCACAAAAATTAGGAAACAAAGGAAGGAAGAGGGATATAATTATCATTATATTGTTAGAATTGTATCTTTGAGATTCCAAGATAATGGAATAGGAAATGACATACTGTGCTAGGCTAGGGATAAATAGTAAAACTATATATATATAATAAATATATATAAATTTATATGTATATATAAATATATATAAAGTGCACAATCAGGAGAGAATTAGAAAATGGCACTGGAAAGTCGACAAAAGTAAGAGGAACACGATGGACCTGTGTGGAATGTGTGGGGGTGCAGCACGAACATGGACACAACACTTGAAGGTAGCAGCCAAAGAGCCAGAGCAGGTGGCAGCTTGGAGACAGAGGTGAGACCAGACTGCAGCAACCCGCAGTGATGTAGCCAGAGGGAGAGTGTGGCTTGAGTCCAGACTGGAGCCCCAGGGGCTGGTAGTTACTAGCACTTACCCACAGACCCCATGGAAGTAAAAGGGGCAGGTTTACCTCACCCTGTCCTCCCCACAATGGTGCCCACTGCCAGGCTGAGAAAGGGAGGGCACCATTTTGGGCTTCGGCAGCAGCTGCAGAAGCCTTTGTGTACATGCACAGCAACTGAGACAGGATCATCCTCTCTGCTGTACTGGGGGCAGCGGCCAAGTGGCCAAGAGAGGTAACATTTGCCAAGGGGCTCTTATGGGTCATGTGATCCAGAGATTCTAGTGGAGGGAAAACTCAGCAGTCCTCACTGACTTTGAGCCTTGCTGGGAGGACTGAGTAGTGGTCAGGCACCCACACAGGACTGTGAGGTGCTCCCAGCCTCTCAATATAAACAGGCTCTGGGACTCAAGCCATTTAGGTGAAGCTGGCTCAAGGAACGTCTGCCTCTCTGTTTGCTGGACAGGATGACAGGGCAGAGCAGAACTTCTGCACTCAGTAACTGTGGGAGCCATGTGTGCTGAGACCATGTGTGCAGGGTAGAGCTGGGTCTCAGGGCAATCACTGGGTGTGGCTCCACACACTCAGAGCTCCTTGGTTGCCTGGGGGCATGCCATTGCAATAGGAACCATGTTCAGAATGAAGACTGCACAGATCATTCCGTGATTCATACAGAAGCACACATGAATGTTGAATTTGGGACTATTTGATATATGGTGCAGAGGTACACAGGTTTGGTGAGCCAGGGTTTCTCATACAGAGCCATGGGAATGATGCTGCCATCTCTGCTTCTGGAAACCCGGGTCTCCAATTAAAGAGACTTATAATTCAGCACTAAGATGATGGCAGTTGTTCCACTAGGTTTTGAATTTCATTGGGACCTATAACTCTTTTTTCTTCATGTAGCATTGGAAATATATATATATATATTTTTTTTTTGACAGGCAGAGTGGACAGTGAGAGAGAGACAGAGAGAAAGGTCTTCCTTTTGCCGTTGGTTCACCCTCCAATGGCCGCCGCGGCCGGCGCGCTGCGGCCAGCGCACCGCGCTGATCCGATGGCAGGAGCCAGGAGCCAGGTGCTTTTCCTGGTCTCCCATGGGGTGCAGGGCCCAAGCACCTGGGCCATCCTCCACTGCACTCCCGGGCCACAGCAGAGAGCTGGCCTGGAAGAGGGGCAACCGGGACAGAATCCGGCGCCCCGACCGGGACTAGAACCCGGTGTGCCGGCGCCGCTAGGCGGAGGATTAGCCTAGTGAGCTGCGGCGCCAGCCGGGAATATTTATCCTTTGCTGACCTTACCATTGTATTAAGGGAGCACCTAACTTAAGTGGTTTACTTGTTCAGAGGAGAGGGATTTTGTCCAGGATAAATCTGTCATATACAATTTAGATGATACTTAAATAAGATTAGATTTTAGATTTAGAATTAATTTAAAATAGTCGTGTTTTCAGACTGCTATAGTGGAATGAATGCAGTTTTCATGAAAGAATTTGGTGGGGGGTAGGTATAGAATGCTATAATCTGAATAATTTTATCTTCAACAAATCATACATTAAAATTTTTATTCCTAATGCAATGGAATTTATAAAATGAAGACTTTGGCAGGTAATTACATTGAGATTGTTTCTTGAGAGTAGAAAACTCACAATGTTATATCAGTAAGAGACAGCCTATATGCCTGCTGGAAGTGACTTTAGTCTATATAAGTTCACAGTAGGAAGGTGTCCACCTACAAGAGAAGAATCGAACTTGGTGTCCCTAGCTTCCATAATTGTGAGAAATTTCTTTTGTTTAATTCATCCAGTCTAGGGTACTTTGTTATGTCAATCATGAGGACACTAAGATATTTTGTTTATGCACAAATAGTATTAATATTTTCACATACTTACTAGGCCATATGCTCCAAAACACAACAACTAAACCTTTAACATGACATGTACACAATGTACTTAATTTCACAATATTGTCAGAGACCACGAGAAATTTCAGGTTTCTTTTCCTAAATAACATAAAAATAGGAAAGATAGCTCCAAGCTGGCATACAAACGCTTATATTTGTAATCCTCCTTTTTATTCTCATCATAAAATATATAATGCACACAGAGACTTAGAGAGTAAGGCATAAATCTTTATTACTATTCAGGCCATTCAAATATACCAAAGGCTTTATTCCAAATCTGATGTGAAGAATTCCAGGGTTAAATTGTAGTATACCTTTTTAAAATGCTGTATTTATTCAATATTCACTCTCTGGATTTATACTTATACATTACCATTCCTGAGAAGCCATAGTTGACCCCACCCAGTGTCTTTTTTGTTAGACCCTCACAACTGAGCCACTGTCTTACCTGCCCTTATCTCCATAGGGGCAGACACATAAGAATCTATGGACAGATTCTTTACCCAAAGGAGAACAGGAATTAACAAAATTAACTAAACAATCCTCAACAACCCTTTTTTTTTTTTTTTTTAATTTGGAAGGGAGAGACAGATGCAGAAAATGATCTTTTGTCTTCCAGTCTAACCCCAAAAGGCTAACAATAGCTGGGCCAGAACAGTTAAAGCCAGGAGACTAGAACTAGATCTGGGTTTCCCATTTGAATGTCAAGGTCCAAATATTTAAATCATCACCTGCTGCCTCCTAATATGCGCCTATCAGGAAGCTAGAATCAGAAGTGGAGCTGGACTCAAAACCAGATATTCAGATTGGGGTGTGGAAATCCCAAGTGTGTTATTAAGCACTAAACCAAAGACCTTTCCTCAAAACAACTAACTTTAAACCTAAGTCATATGTAATGATTGTCTGCAAATTTCCATTCCTTCAGTCTTGTTACCTACTGTGTTTCTACTGTGTGAGTCTGTATGTCCTGCTCTTCATCACCAGGCACTTTTTTTTTTTTTTTAAGATTTATTTATTTTATTTGAAAGGCAGGGAGAGAAAAGAAAGAGAAAGAGAAAGAGAAAGAGAGAGAGAGAGAGAGAGAGAGAGAGAGAGAGAATCCTTCATCTGCTGGTTCGCTCCCCAGAAGGCTGCAACAGCTGGAGCCGCACCGATCTGAAGCCAGGAGCTCAGGAGCTTCTTCTGGGTTTCTCACATGGGTCCAGGGGCCTTAGGACTTGGGCCATCTCTCACTGCTTTCCCAGGCCACAGGAGAGAGCTGGATTGGAAGTGGAGCAGCTGGGACTCAAACCAGTGCCCATATGAGATGCCAGCATTGCAAGTGTTGGCTTTATCTGCTATGCCACAGCACCGACCCCAGGAGGCACTTTTTTCTATAATAATCCTACAAAGCTCTTTCACTCATGTCAACTGACTATGCTAGCCTTTAATAAAGCTCACTGAAGTTAACAGGGATATAAAAGGGTCAAAAACAATATCCAGTGACACACAATGGTCACAGTTTTCAAATCTCAGCAGATCAGTAGACAGTGATTTCTTGGCTCTATAGAGTTCAGAGTGATAAGGAGACTAGCTGGCTCACATTAGCCACCTACTGAGCAGCACTGTCTTCTGTGAACTTGCTTCCCTTTCTAACATTTTCTATGCCCTCACTCTTCCTTTGTCACCAGGTCCTAAAGAAGCCACTCATATGTGCTCCTGTCTCAGCCCTGTTTTGGAAGAAAACAGAACTAAGATGGAAGGAAATCCAAGCAGTAAAAACATCTAGTCATACAATGTCCATACAGAAAACCAGAAACTTTCAGATAAGAAAACAAGATGCTGAGCCAGAAAATATACAATTACCAAGCACAAGAGATTGTGTCAACATCAGTCAAAAACTTAACCAGTACCTCAGTCAACAGAAACCATAATTAATCTAAGAATCAAACACCAAATCTACAATTGAGAGAAATTAGGGGATTTCTGAAGATAACTTTCCTCTCCTTGTCACTCAGGCTTATTTGTAAATAAAATATATGACAATGAATTGTAGAAGAGAGGAATTTATTGAGGCATTAGTGATAAGAAACATTTAAAAACAAAAAACCAAAAAACAAAACTCCATTTAGACACAAGAAATGACTTTTTTAAGGAAAGAATCATCATGTATTAATACTGAGATCTGGAGCAGGAAGCTACCTAATCAATCTGATGTTGACCCTACTAGCTCTTCTGTCAAGTTTCCATATCTGATCAGTCTTTCAACTTTTACCTCCAGAGATCATGCTCATCTATTTCATGGATTTTCAGTTACCTCCCGGAAGTAACAAGAGAATCTGGCTTCCTATTGTTACTATCAGAAATGATCACAAACTTCATAACTGAAAAAAGGTAAATGCATTGTCACTATTTAAAAGATGAAAAGCAAATCACTCTGGCTCAAGCTGAAATGCAGGGAGGTCTGTGCTCCATCTGGTCCCAAGGGAATAATCTGTTCCTTGCCACTTCCAGCTTCCAGTAGCATCTGTCATTGCTTGTGGTTATACCACTTTCATCCTTGGCTTCATGGTGACATCAATTTTTATTTTCTTTGAACATAAACCTCCTTTGGCCTTTGGAATGTATGAGCACATGTGACTGAAGCCAGGGTTACATAGAAAACCCAGGCTAACCCAATCACATATATGAAATTTTTTTCAACATAATACCCCCAGGTTCCATGAAAAAAAAAAAAAACCACCATATTTAGCTGGGAGCCAAAAACAAGTCCTCAGTCATGCAATATTTTAGATGAGAGCTGAGTAACATAGAATCTGCCCCATTGGCAGCAGTCTAGCAAACCATTCAACCTCACTGAAACTGCCATCAGCCACACCATTCATTTTCTATTAAATGTGGGATTATCCTGAGATTTGATATGATCAACTGTTGGAAGAAGCTAGGAGACTTGACAAAGGAGAGTGAGCTATTCCCACTGGGTAGTATTTGAGGCAGAAGGGATGACTGGCAGGACTGTCCTCCTGATGGAAAATTAAAGATCTACCGCAGCTAGATGATCATTGCATTTGCAGCCAAGTCACCAAGAAATGGACACACATCCTAGGTAGTGTCTATCCTGACTATATCCTGAGGTCTGAGTTGTGCATATATCTGACTAAAATATAAAAAAGATTGTGTAAATGGGGAAGGGATGAAAATACAAATTTTCAGTGAAGCTGAGGGTCAGCTTTAGAAGGGCAGAATACAACCAAAATGATTACCACAAAATCACTATAAAGTTATATTAACACAAAAGTAAACTACATTGACGTACCCATTTCTCTGTTGCAATGGGTACCCTCTGAATAGACTTCAGTCCAAGTTCTTATGTCTGAGCAAGAAGGAATTTAAGGAAGAAAATTAGAAACAGGGGACCATGAATGAAAGATTTTAAAAGGGACTGTATACACTCAGTAATATAGGAAAATTCAAGAGATAAGGAGTGTTGCAATTTATAAGATTTGAGGTTGTCCTTTTATAGAATGATGGTGATGTGTGGGATAACACCTGCCTGAATATACAAACACATCTTGGTTAGTGTTGCCTAATCCTGATCTCCACACAGGTAATTTGAAAATTCTCATAAGTATACAGATCACCAGAGACTCATTCAATATGCTGGACATAGCACTCATCATTCAGGGTTGGGGTAGAGTATCATGGTTGGAACATAGTCAGTTGACATGCCTATGGTCACACCAGTGGTTTTACTACAATAATATAGGGAAAGAGTACTGGGCAGATAACAAAATTGCTATACAAAATAATTTTGTAACTAATGAAGATGGTATTTCAAATAAGTGTTGCAGATTGAATATTTGTTAGCAAAATTTATACAGGAGAGCATAGTTTATTTACTTGGTCTCACTCACAATAATGGGAAAGTTAAAAATACAGGGTATACAAGATAAAAAAAAGTTTCTAAAGAACAATTAACGAGTGTTGGTCTCACAGTATAATTCCATCACGTAAGCTGCCTAATACGTGCTGAGGTGTGATTCCACCAAAGAATTGTTCCACACACAATACTTTTTCAGAGGCTTCTTTGTAATTTTGCTAAGGTTTGCTGAGTTTGCCTTACAGTAATGGTTTTTTTCAAATTAAATTATGGTCATAGGAGTTTTCCTATGTGGGAGCTCTCAGTTAAGCTTTGAGAGATGGTACAGGGCTTCACTATACATGCATGTTTTCTCATTTCTGAGTCTTCATGGGAATTCAAGACTGATTTATGACAGATTTTTTTTTCATATTGATTACATTGAAATGTTTAATTTGTGAATTCTCTGATGTTCGTTGAGGTCTAGTTTCTAGCTAAAGATTTTCTCATATTTACTGCATTCAAAAGATATCACCTTCTGTGAATTTGATATTTCTCCAAGCATGAATTCCAGAAAAATTTTTCCACATTCATTTTACTCCAACAAAACCCCCTGTGTGAATTCTCTGACGCACAATGATCAGTTTCTGACAAATGGCTTTCTTCACACTAATGACATTCATAAGCTTTCTTCACTATGTGCATATCTTGATACATGAGGTATGATTTTCAGCAAAAGGCTTTGTCACAATGGTTACACTGATTTTGGGAAAAAGCTCTTCTGTACTCATTATATTCTCAAGGACTCTCCTTTCTTTGAATTTTCTTATGTGTTATGAAATATCCTGAAGGAAAAAAAGCTAATCCACATTTATGACATTCATAAGTATCCACCTTATGAGTTTTCTGATACTATAAGGTGTGATTTTGGCAAAGAGCATTCCTACACTCATTAAATTCATGAGGTTCCCCACCCCACAATGTGAATCCCATATGAATTCTCTGATGTCTTATGAGGTGTGACTTCTGGATAAAGACTTTTCCAATGCATTACATTCAAAGGATTTTCCCTTATATGAATTTAATGATGTGTAATAAGGGTTGAATTATGGTAAAAGACTTTCTCAGTCATTAAAATAATTAGGTTTCTTCTCTCTGTGAATTCTCTGATGTAGGAGGAGATGTGACTTTTGGCCAAAGGCTTTTCCACAGTCATTACATTCATGACGTTTCTCCCCTGTGTGAATTCTCTGATGTGTTATGAGTTGTGCTTTCTGGTAAAAGGCTTTTCCACAGTTATTACATTCATGACGTTTCTCCCCTGTGTGAATTCTCTGATGTGTTATAAGTTGTGATTTCTGGGAAAAGGCTTTTCCACAGTCAATACATTCATAAGGCTTTTCTCCTGTGTGAATTCTCTGATGTGTCTGGAGGTGGGACCTATGACTGAAGGTTTTTCCACAGTCATTACATTCATAAGGTTTCTCCCCTGTGTGTATTCTCTGATGTGTTATGAGGTATGATTTCTGGGAAAAGGCTTTTCCACAGTAATTACATTCATGATGTTTCTCCCCTGTGTGAATTTTTTGATGTGTTATAAGGTTTGATTTCTGGGAAAAGGCTTTCCCACAGTCATTACATTCATGACATTTCTCCCCTGTGTGAGTTCTCTGATGCCGTATGAGGCCTGATTTACACACAAACGCTTTTCCACAGTCACTGCATTCATGAGGCTTCTCTCCTGTGTGAATTCTCTGATGTATGATGAGGTGTGACTTAAAGCCAAAGGCTTTTCCACAGTCATTACACTCATGAGGCTTCTCCCCTGTATGAGTTCCTTGATGTATTATGAGTTGTGACTTATAGCAAAAGGCTTTTCCACAGTGATTGCACACATAAGGTTTCTCTCCTGTGTGAATTCTCTGATGCCGTATGAGTTGTGGCTTAGAGCCAAAGGCTTTTCCACAGTCATTACATTCATGAGGTTTCTCCCTTGTGTGAGTTCTCTGATGCTGTATGAGATGTGATTTAGAGCCAAAGGCTTTTCCACAGTTACTGCATTCATGAGGCTTCTCCCCTGTGTGAGTTCGCTGATGCTGTATGAGATGTGACTTAAAACCAAAGGCTTTTCCACAGTCATTACATTCATGACGTTTCTCCCCTGTATGAGTTCTCTGATGTATTTTGAGTTGTGATTTATAACAAAAGGCTTTTCCACAGTCATTGCATTCATGAGGTCTCTTCCTTGTGTGAATTTTCTGATGTGTTATAAGGTTTGATTTCTGGAAAAAGATTTTTTGACATTCATTACATTCATGATGTTTCCTCTGCCTGTGGATTTTCTGATGTCTCATGAGATATGACTTCTGGTAAGTGGTTTCTCCACTTTCATTGCATAAATGAGGGTTTTCTTGTATGTGAGTACAGTGATCAATGGCATGGCAGGAGTTATAACTGAATGAATTCCCACAAAGTGTACAAGCATAGGGCTTTTTCCCTATTTGTGGTCTCTGATTTATTGTAAGATGTGATTGGTTAATGACATGTTCCACAGGCTTAATATATTCAGAAAGTTTCTCTCTTGTGTGGGTTTGTTGATGCTTACTGAGTTTAGAATTTTTATGGAAAGCTTTTTCTATTTGAATTGCTTTTCCAACAGTGACAGTTGACTTATTACTGGTATCTCGTTTATGAACCCTCTCAAATGTACAGAGTATCTTCTTCCTATTGAAGGTTTTCCCTTGTCCAGTATGTTCAAATGACTGCTTCACAGTCTGAATCTTGCAATGCTGACTAACTGGGTCATAGCACTGGACAGAGGTCCCAGGTACCTTAGTGGCATCAAATTTATCTCCAGGCCTGCTGGGGGGATACACATCTTGAAACACATTGCATTCCTCAGCATTCATTCCTGAATAGGCTCCCTTCTTGATAATCAGTTTTGGAATATGGCTTGAACTTAAATTAAGTGTTTTTCTTAATACAATTCTCTTGAGATTTGATGTCTTGTTATATTTCATACCATCCTGAATCAAATTTGTGTCTTCACTTTCCTGGTGTGTCTCAGTCAGGTAATCCCATTTCATGGCAACTGAAATGAGAAAAAAAAATAACCATGCCACTGAATTACATATAATTGCTTTTCCTAGCATACTGATGTAAAGGGAATGAGATTACTTGTTTTCCAAGTGGCATAAGATTCTAACATAATCAGTACAGGATACTTTACTATGACTACTACATGTTTTTTATTAAAACATTAATATATTAAATTATATCAGTGGCTTTCCCAATATTCACTATGATCTTGTTTACTACCTGAATTTTTTTCAAGTATGGAAGATTGGGTTATGTGCTACGATGTGCTAAGTCAGGATTGAGATGCCTGTATCCCAAAATGGTGCCAGTTTGAACCCTGGCTACTCTGTTTCCAGTACAGCTCTCTGTTTATGTAAACTTGGAGGCAGATGATGGTACATGTCCTTGGGATCCTGTGAGACACTACAGAGGCCTAGATAGAATTTCAGGATTTTGGCTTCAGACTAGTCAGGCCTAACTGTTGCAGGCATTTGGGGAGTAAGGTAATAGAAAATCTCTTTCTCTCTCTCCTCTCATTGTGATTCTGCCTTTCACAAAGATGAAACAAACTCTATACAATTTTAAAGAATGGAGAAATATTTAGTAAAATCACTCACTCATTGCCTGGCAACCAATTTCTTCCCTGTTCTGTTCCTGAGTTTATTTTTATAAAAAATGTGTTTTCTGCTTCTCTGATATTTCAGCCATAAAGATGGGAAAATTTTACTGTATCATTTATTTGCAGGTAGAGAAGATGAAATGTGTCTGTACTCTAAGCAGGACCACATTTAAGGAACAGGATTTGAATCTATGATTGTCTCATATTTAATGTTCCCAGGAAAATAGCGTTTGTGGGATTTCTCAAATGAAAAGCTCTGCTTTTATCTGCACTCTATGATAGCTTCCTCATATTTCTAAGGAAACCAAACATCTTCAGCTTCTCAGAACCACAATAGGTACAGAAAAGTCCCAATATACCACATTGGGTATGCACTCCCTACCAGTTTAAAGATTTGTTTCTGCAACCCAGGGTGTATTCACCTTCTTTGAAAAGTATTTTCTAGCTCATTCTGAAATCAACAGTCCTGGTTCTCGCCTTTCAATTCTTTCTATAAACAGCCCTGTTTGATGATCTGAGTTTCTGGAAGCTTATGATCAGCTGTTTCCTATTTTCACAGAATACTATTTCCTATGCCTTTCTTATCTTTGTGTTTTTTTTTTTTCAATGATACTGAAACATGAGAGCATTCATATTTCAAACTCCATGCTTAAACATATCTGAGCCATTCAACATGAACCCATGAGGTTGCATGACCTTAGGATTCAGAATTTCATGACTTTCTTGATTAACCTACGATTGACTTATTTTTGTGTTGCTATACAGATTCATGCTTAGCTTTATGATTTCTGATGTCACAGCACAGAGGCTTGTTCCTGGTCATCTTTAAGTGTTTACTTATTTACTTGTTTGAGATTCAGAGAGACAGAATGAGACATAAAGAGAGAATGAAACAGGGGGTTGCCAGTTACAAGCTCACTCCTCAGTTGTTTCCAACAACCTATTATTATTTATTTGCAAGGCAAAGAGAGAGAGAGAGAGAAAAAAAGGGTTCACATATATTGATTCAGTCTTGAGATGCTTATAAAAGAGCAAGTTCTCTGCCTGCAGAGCAATGAGTGAGAATTCAATTGGAATAACTACTAACAAACAAGTTCCTATACATTTCCCAATCAATAAGCATTGAAAAAATTAATAAATGCATGAAGAAAAAAGTAGGAAACTGTAGAAAAGGGCAGTTAGAATTTGGAAAATGTACCTAACCTAGGAAAAAAGCCTTAGTAACACCAGGAAAGTATTGGAATTTCTTAAAATCAAAGAACATATTCACCAAGAACAAAAGAGACAGATACTGGTATCCCTAGATACTCCAGAATGCTAGTGTCTGATGCAAATCCAGTTATCATCAGGAATAAGACTTGGGAAATTTAGTGGAAAGAGCACCAGTCAATATCTGCTGCACTCTTCATGCCTTGGCCTCCCTGCCCAATATGTACAGACTGACCTGGAAGGCTTTGACTTAGGCATTCTTCCACTATCCATGGCTCTGCTCCTTGCTCCAACTTGAAGATCAAGTCAGGTTTGGTCATGCAGTATCCTATTGATGGAAACAATGTAAGACTTTGGGAAATCACTACCTTTGGTTAGCGAAAGGACTACAGCTTGGTCCAGGAGCTATGCAACAAATGTTCCAAATCTGAATCCTTTTGTAGATGGTGGACATTCAGATTATTCATGGGCTCAAATTTTATATCTGCCCATCACTAAACTTTATAAAGAGCTGACTTATTTGTCAAATAGCAAGAAAATGTTACTACTGGGCTTGTGATGGGTATCACTCACCCAAGGAAAGCAGGCTGCTGTAGATCTCCAGCATCACATCCCTGTACAGGGTTTTCTGAGTTTTGTTCATGTTCTGCCATTCCTCCCAGGTAAAGTACACAGCCAGGTCTTCAAATGTTATCATCACCTGTGATAGAACACTGCTGGTCAACATATCAACTCTGTCACAAAACAAACACTGACAGTTTTATATCTTGTATATGGCTATGGAGAAAGAAATAAGGATGTGCTTTTATTGTAGAGTTGTTGAGCATTTGGACAGCCACACATTCAAGAGGAGGTCAAATGCACCTTGGGAAAATGCCCAAGGTGTAGTGAAACAGCAGTGTCACATCACAAAGGGCCACATGTGTCAAGGGGAATTGCACAGCAGGCTGAATAGGGAATCAGACTGACTCTTGGATGAGCCATGACTGTTTGAGCAGAATGTAGAAGTATTCAGGGAAAAACACAAGAAACCATCAGTGAAGCTATGGTAGGAATGAACAGAAAAGAATATATAGCAAAACACCATACACAGCCACTTCTAATATGGCAGAAAAAAATGTTTTAAAAGAAGGCAGGAATTTAACTTAGTGTTTATGAGGCAAGCTAAGATCCTCTACTTCTACTTCAGATTGCCTGTGTTGCATTTCCAGGGCTGGTTCCAGTTTCCACTTCCAAGCTAATGCAGACCTGGGGAAGCAGTGGTGATGCCACCAATGAGGGAGACCTAGACTCCATCCCTGACTCCTGGCTTCAGTCCTGCCCTACCTCAGCTAGGTGTGGTTACTTAGAAAGTAAATACAAGGGAGCTCTCAATATCTCTGTCAGTCCAGCTTCTCTATCAAGCACATAAACATTTTAAATAAGGGAGAAGATTCAAGTAAGACAATAGAAAATAGCCTTTGACTTTGTCTATGATTATTCTACTGATAAACATTTGAAGAACTGAAACAACATTACACCAAATTAAAGTGAAAACGATGGGATTATTTGCCCAAAAACAGAACTTGGGAAAATCTGCAGTACAATTTGCTTTTGTGAGTAGCTGAAATTAATATATAGATATTTGTTTAAGAACCTGCAGTAGGTATCAGCATTGTGGTACAGCAGGTTAAGCCTCCACTTGCAATGCTGGCATTCCATGTGAACAGATAATTTGATTCCTAGATGCTCACTTTAATCCAGCTCCCTACTAATGTGCCTGAAAGAGCAGTGAAAGATGGCCTGAATATTTGAGTCCCTTGCACCAATGTTGGAGACCTGGATGGATTCCCAGGCTCCTGGCTTTGGCTTGGCCCAGTCCCAGTCATTGTGGCCATTTGGGGAGTGAAGTAGTGGATGGAAGACATCTCTTTATCTTTCTCCACCTCTTGCCATCTCTGTAACTCCGCCTTTCAAATAAATAAAAGTCTTAAGCAGCAAAAAAATTTACATAGGCTGGCACTATGGTGTAGCAGATTAAAGCCCCAGCCTGGAGTGCTGGCATCCCATTACTTGCTGGTTTGAGTCCTGGCTGCTGCACTTCCAATCCAGCCCCCTGCTAATGTACCTCAGAAAGTAGTGGAGGATGGTCCAAAACCTTGGGCCCCTGAACCTACATGGGAGACCCAGAAGAAACTTCTGGTTCCTGGCTTTGGATCAGCCCAGTACTAGCTGTTGTAGCCATTTGGGGAGTAAACCAGCAGATGAAAGACCTCTCTCTGTCTCTACCTCTCTGTGTAACTCTGTCTTCTAAATAAATAAAATATATCTTTTTATATATATAAAAAGAATGTACAGTAGATTCTTTTCCCAAACATTACTGATCCTATCCATGAATCAAGTTAGCCCCTGAAAACTATTAAAGACTACATTATTCTGGTAATTCAAAAACAAACTTAACTGACTTGTGTTTTAGCACTAGGCTACTCTTACCCTTGCATAAGTATTTATTTCTAGGGTAGCACAAACACTAAATACTAAAATGCTGCTCACAACATCATCTTTGTGACAATAAAGACTGTTTCAGACATCATGACCCCCAAATTTTAGCATATGGTACTCCAAACTTCAACTCAAAACATGTAACAAATCTATCTTTTTGCTATGGCAACAGAAGGGACAGACAGAATTACCATATGTTAGATGACTGTAATGATTCTTACCTGATTCATCATGCATCTTACTTGTATATATTCCCTGAGAATAAATTTTATGTTTCATTTTTTTCATTTTAACTAATAAACTATTATAAATCTCCTAAAATAAAAACAGACAACTGAGGAATAATTAAGAAAACCACTTACAGGTGATGCATTAATTTTCTTTGCTCTTGGAAATATGTGGAGGTGCCCAGAATTATACCTGGAAGAGAAGGGAATGGGAGGACTTAAAAGAAAATTTATCTGGCTTCATTCTACATTGAACTGTGAAAAAAAATTGACAGAATGAATAAAGAATATAGAATACATTAACTGAGACAACATCAGCTTCACTGTGAAGGATTAAATCTTTAGACATCAAAATACATTGGAAAGCGTACCCACCTCTTTAAGTGACAGAGATGAAACAGAAGTTGTCATTGCTTTAAAGAAAGCATTGTCTACACATGTTGTAAAATAATATAATAGGAAAATATTAAAATTTTAAGGGTGATTGTTCAAATAAGTGAAGTTATTAAAGAGATAAACATTATATTTTTACTAAAATTTATTCTAAAAAAGTTATTTTGGATTTATTATTTTTCTATTAATGCAGAAGTACACATAGGATTCCACAAAGTGTGTACACTAGAAAACTTCTTTTTTTCAGACCTGAAATTCTATAGAAAGTATGCAACTTAAAGCTTAACATTTTTGGCCAAAATTGCATTGGAACAAATATACATAATGTATATTTAGTGTAGTACACTTTTCCAGTAATGATTCCAAATAACTTGATACCCAATATACATTCCATCATCAGATCCTGCCTGGATTTCACCATTTCACTTGATTTATTCCATGAGATATCAGTAAATGTGATAGAAACAGATAGTTTGGAAATATTTACCTTCTCAGATTTGCCCTATTTTACAGTTATCTTATGAAAAACGCTGGAGCCTGCCTGTTGATGAGATATGATCTAGCCAAAAATCAGCACAAAGCTCCAGATATTTAAGTGAAGTCACCTCCATCTCGAAGGTACCAGCCTCAATCAGTGCATCGAATGACTAAACCCTCATTTCCAATCCCAGAATGATTATAGGAACTGCCCATCTGAACCCATCCCAACATACTGAATCAGAATTACAAATCAAATGGCTATCTATTAAGCCATTTTATTTTCTGATTTGTCCTACAACAAATGTTGATACATACTGGTGAGTATGGGGACAAAGTTCAATTATCTGCAAAATGTAACTAGTACAATTTCACAATCTCAGGTAGAAGTTTCCATAAGCACAGGACCAGCATTGTCACATAGCAAATTAAGCTGCTGCCTAAAATGCAAACACTTCATATGGGCACTGGTCCATGTTCTAGCTGCTGCACTTTTGATCCAGCTCCCTGGTAGTGGCCTGAGAAAAGCAGTGGAAGATGGCCCATGTACTTGGGCAAATGCTACCTACATGGGAGACACAGAAGAAGCTCCTGGATCATGGCCTCAGCCTGTCCCAGCCTTGCCCATTGCAGCCATTTGGGGCGTGAACCAACAAATAGAAGATCTCTCTATATATAACCCTTTCAAATAAATTAAAAAAAAAAAAAAACTAAGAAAAAAAGCAATAAATATGATCTATGCCTACCAATTGGATTATAGCAAGCTGTTGATACAAAAAAAAAGGTTCTAATAATCACATAAATAAATTATCTGGAGATCACAAGGTTATAATTTACAATTCTGCTTATATGTGGTCATTGTATTCTGTTTATATTTTAGAAAACTGAATAGCAAAAGGAAGTCTAATTTAGTGTAATTTTACTATTTCAGAAAATGAGAGAAAGGCTCACAGTCATTTTCAGTAGCTTCATGAGTACTGTATTTCGTTCAAAATTTTCAAGAGAAAATTAATTAAAAATTTTACGATGTTTTTGAAGTCACATAATTCATACATAGCATTAGGATCAAAAGGAAAGACATGCTCATGGCAGTCTTCTAAAGCAATGCTTATTTGAAACTGGTGACAGTTTCTGATATTGATCTAAAAAAAGTATGGCAAAATAGGAAACACTACCACAAAAAATAGAGTGCTGGGCATCTACTAATTATGTGACACTACTCAAACCACTTATCTCCTGAAATACAATTTGTTTTATCATTTTTACATGCAGAGACCCTGGCAAATCCTCCTTTAGCTACCAGGAAGAACTATTATGATACAGGAGGCAGCAGCATGCCTCTAGATACCATGTATAGAGATAGACTCTAGAAATCATGATAGTGGAACGAAGTAACAGGCATGTGGTAATGGAAGCAATGTAGATAGTGACTCTCAGACATGAGAGGTTATCCCTCCACCCCAGACTAACCTTCAAGACCCCTTAAATATGTAACATTTGCTAGGTGCTTGTCTTTTCTCTCTCCATCCATTCAGTTTTCTTTTGAAGGCTGGCCCAGAACATCCACTATTACCTAGTCTTTAATAACATACACATGAGGTAAGGTAGTATCCACTACATCTTGTTTACTCTCGTCAGTATGATCAATAACTGCTTGGACCATGCAAAAGTAGGATTTTTGTATTTCAGTGACTCTTTGTTTCTGCTCTGAAGCCTTAAGGCATTGTCTCAGAGAGAGCATTAAGGGGTATTTCTGTCAGAAATGATTCCTATTCATGGAGCTCCTTTCTTCAAATATCATAAACTACCCACTTTCAAAGTAATTGGGACTGTCACCCAGTAGCCAACCTTCCATGTTTCTGGAAATTAGGTTATGTACAAAACTCTGTAACCTCAAACAAGCCGTGCTGGTCAGGCTACACAGTGCAGGAAACCAGAGATGTCACTTGGAGAAGATATACAATGAAACCTCACAAATGCAACTGTTACATAGTGTAAGTCACCCTGCACACGCCTCACAATGATTTCTCAGGGAATGTGGAACATTCACCAGTACTGCTAATACACCCATCTTATAGATGGGTAAACAATGGCAGAAGTGCAACCTACATTTACCCCATACACATTTCAGCTCAAATGGCCAGAAAACACATCTCCATCTCATGGTCATCTTGGATAAGACATGCTGTGTACAGGACTTTTGAAACCATCTTCTGTACACCTAGAGACACTGGTCTTCTGTCAGTGCATCATCTTCTGACAAATAAATTCCTGGAAAGCCCAAACTTATGTACCCCTTCTCCAGCTCAGGATCTACCACTGGTGTCCTTTCTTGGAACAGTCAAGGTCGACAGGGTGCCCCTGAATGACAGACCTCAACACCTGAGTTCTATGACTGTCACCTACGCAAACAAGAGACAAGCACATGTCTTGCTCTCCAAAATTCTTTTTACCCCCACACTAACATTCACAAACATGAATCTTGAGCAATATAAGGATAGCCCCAAGGCCAGGAATTCTGTGAAGATGGTGGGACTGGCTGGGATGGCACATGCTGAGAAGGAAACTAGACAAGAATTTCAATGGCCCTGCCCTGCTGACATAATGGGCAGATGAGCCTACAATTCCCATAAAGCAATGACACTTCCATTACGAAGAAATGAGGATGATCCATATATTTGCTGGAAAATCAGCTTCCTGGGACACTTAGGAGATACAACAGACGAACTTGTGTAACTATGTGAGATACTAATATAGTACTCCAGTTCATCATCAATTCTAGGTTTGACAAAAAAATACCCTAAGTAGAGAAATTCAAATGTGGAAAGCATTTTTAGAAACTTTAAATTAATTATTATTTTTAATTCTCACAACTAAATTGTGATTCTAGAACCTTCATAACCTTATTACAAATACTTTGGAGAAAACTCCAATAACTCTTTTTAAGTTAAAATATTCACAGAAGCAACTATTAGTACTGAATAACTCTTTTTGTTTATAGATTTTTGTTTTATTTATTTGAAAGAGTTACAGAGAGAGGTAGAGACAAAGAGAGGGGTCTTTCATCCACTGATGAATAACTCATTTTTAATCCTTTTAAAATGATGCTTGATCTTACCTACTAAAATAATCTGTGGGCCATTAATGGACCATATTTCACAGTGAGGAAAACTACTCTAATATATTTAGTGGATTAATATGGCTAGAGAACAGGGTGAGTATATTCTAAAATCTTTGTGAATATTTAAAATTGCACTATCTGGTAATTCCTTATCCAAAAGTTCATGAAATTCATGTATTCATCACTTCATCCAGTTATCTATATATATCTACAAAACTTTATTTTTTTTGAGATCTGCACTAAATGTGTGGTTTCTGCCACAAATCAGGCAGAACGACAAATATAAGGGTGCCACTCAGTTCCTGCTTTTACTTCTTTTCCCGTCTAAATGAGAATGGGCATGTAATTATGAATAAGTTCTTGAGGATTTGAGTGGTAGTGTCATGGCCACTGAACCGTGGCCCACAATTACTGGCCATTTTTGTCTATGTATAATGTTTGAATTGTGGTGTTCACATTCTTGTATCATCTCTGATCTGGTAACTGCCTTTCAGTAACTTTATTCTGCAAATTGAGGGACCTCAGACTTGAGCTTCTAGCTAAAGTAACTTTACCTCAGACTCAGAAGCAAATTATTGCTTAGTTCTCACCGTCATACAATTTAAACAAGAATGCAGTTTCAGGCATCAGTGAACTAGAGTGGTATCATGAAACAGTGGATTCTCTTGTCCTTTTTCAAAATCACTGCTTCCAATAGTGGTAGCCACATACCTGTGACAGCAAGAGCTGCTCACTTTGGAATGGAGATGAAGACTCTGTCAGGATTCCTGAGGAGAAAGAAGGAAGGCCACACACAATTGTTGTTGATTGGTCTCTCATAACTCATTTGCAATTCCTGAGTCTTAAATATACCTTCCTAGTAATGACTGGCATTTATGATTTCAAGCACTTAGTCAGAAAGGAGTGCTAATACTTCATTAGCATTGAATGAAGGATGAAAAATTTAGTGCCTGTGATATAAGAGAGATGAACATAGAGTCAAACTGACTAATTAAGAATCCCACAAAGATTTGAGCTCAATCTTGAGCCACTCATCACTAATGGAAACATGTGGTATTGCAACAACCAGTGTTGCCTGATCATTTTTTACTTTTTAATAATTTGATGTATTAGAGAAAACATGAATGTCACCTTTTATGCATGCACTAAAGGCCTGCTCCCTGAAATAACCTTATGGGGTCAGTAAACATGCTACACACATTTTCTGCTGAATATTCACAAATAAACATACAGAAGAGAAGTCACACTTTATGTGGAATTCAATTTGGAATATTTCTGTACCTTCATATGGACTGATCGGTATTACTAAAACATATGAATTTTTTGTTATGTTCCTCATAGTTGTTTATTTAAAAAAACATGAATAGTGTTTATCACATATATACTGTAATAGAGCTCAGATTCTGTTGTCATTTTTCTACTTCTCATCAGTTTTAGTGTTTCAACTATTCTATCTTATGGGCTGCTATATTGATTTTACATGTATGCAACTACCCATTATTTATATTCTGGTTTGTGTATGTATATACAGATAACTTAGGAGGGGGAACCAGATGAAGCTCTTGATTCCTCACCTCATACTGGGCCCCAGCCCTAACATTTGTGGCCATTTGGGAAATGAACCAGCAGATGGAAGATATTTCTCTCTCTCTCTCTCTCTCTCTCTCTCTCTCTCTGCCTCTCCTTCTCCCTCTCCCTGTAACTCTGCCTTTCAAAGGAACAAATTCTTAACAAAAATGCAAACTGTGACTTTAGTACCTAAACACTTAAACCAGAAAAAGAGAAAAAAGGCAAAAGATTAAATAAAATAGAGATACTACAAAAATCTAGATGGGGTTGGTACTGTAACACTGTGTGTTAAACTGCTGCCTGCAATGCTGGTGTCTCCTATGTGTGCCAGTTTGTGTCCCAGTCACTCCACTTCTGATACAGCTCCCTGCTATTGAACCTGGGAAAGCAGCAAAAGCAGCAAAAGCAGCAAAAAATGGCCCAAGTGTGTGGGGCTTTGCCACCCACATTGGAGACCCAGATGAAGTTCCTAGCTTCAGCCTGGATGACCCCTAGCCATAGCAGTCATTTTGGGGACAGAACCAATGGATAGGGGCCCGGCACTATGGTGTAGCAGATAAAGCTACCACCTGCAGTGCTGGCATCCCATGTGGGCACCAGTTTGAGTCCCGGCTGTTCCACTTCCAATCCAGCTCTCTGCCTTGGCCTGGGAAAGCAGTACAAGATGGCCCAAGTCCTTGGGCCCCTGCACCCATGTGGGAAGAAGGAAGCTCCTGGCTCCTGGTTTTGGAAAGGCTCAGCTCTGGCTGTTGTGGTCATCTGGGGAGTGAACCAGTGGATGGAAGATCCCTATCTTTCTCTCTCTCTCTCTCTCTCTCTCTCTCTCTCTCTCTCTCTCTCTGCCTCTCCTTCTCTCTGTGTGTAATTCTGACTTTAAAATAAATAAATAAATCTTGAAGAAATAAAAGACCCAATGGATGGAAAATCTCTGTCTATATAACTATGCCTTTCAAGTAAATAAATAAATCTTTAGAAGTATTTATTTATTTATTTGAAAGGCAGAATTAACAAAAGAGAGAGAGAAAGAGATCATCCATCCACTGGTTTGCTCCCCAGATAACAGCAAAGGCAGACCTGGGCCAATTTGAAGCAAGGATCCAGGAGCTTCTTTTAGGTATCCCATTTAGGTGCAGGAGCCCAAAGACTTGTGCCACCTTCTACTGCTTTCCCAGGCACATTAGCAGAGAGCTGGATTGGAAATGGAGCAGCAGGGACATGAACTGGCGCCCATATGTGATGCCAGCACTGCTGGTGGAGGCTTTACCTGCCACACCACAGCACCAGTCCCAATAAACCTTTTAAAAAATCTAAAGAAGGAAGATATAAAATGTTTAAGTTGTATAGTTGTATACACGTATATATTTCAGAAAAGTACACAATTTGATCCAACTGGAAGTCTAAAATTATTTTTAAATGATATAATTAAGATTAAAAAAAGACACTGATTTTTATGTCTCTACAACATAAGATATAAATCAACTTTCCCAGTTTCTACATGCACTTATTCACAAAGCTTCATAGCTGCAATCAGTAGTGTAGTTCAAATAAGAGCCTTTCCCAGGGATCCCACTAAATTTAAATAGGGTACTCAATAAAAATTTTACAAAATTTCCAAAAGATGTAACAGAAGAAAAATAAATAATTTATTTGGTATATCTCACTTTAACTATGGTATCGCTAAATTTCCAATAGTCAGATGTACCCAAAAAAACCCAGAAGTGCCAGAGATGGTCTCACACGATGAGAAATAAAATAAAGTTTTTAAGTTACAACTTGGCTAGAGAAAATAAGAATCCCAAACTAAAATAATTAAGATGGCTCAGTAACAGAAAACTCAATATCCCCATGTATTAAAATTTGTTACATGTATTAAAATGAAAACTGTGATTATTCCAACTATGCCCCATTTCACATTCCAATTTTACCTGTTAAATTTGGAAAAAATAGGCCGGCGCTGCGGCTCACTAGGCTAATCCTCCACCTTGCGGCGCCGGCACACCAGGTTCTAGTCCCAGTCGGGGTGCCGGATTCTGTCCTGGTTGCCCCTCTTCCAGGCCAGCTCTCTGCTGTGGCCAGGGAGTGCAGTGGAGGACGGCCCAAGTGCTTGGGCCCTGCACCCCATGGGAGACCAGGAAAAGCACCTGGCTCCTGCCATTGGATCAGCGCGGTGCGCAGGCTGCAGAGCACCAGCCGCGGCGGCCATTGGAGGGTGAACCAATGGCAAAAGGAAGACCTTTCTCTCTGTCTCTCTCTCTCTCTCACTGTCCACTCTGCCTGTCAAAAAAAAAAAAAAATTGGAAAAAATAAATAGCACCTCATGATAATTACTAAAATCTTAATGCTATATGCCACCCATTATGTCCACCATAACTTATATATCTAATATTAACATATCCAATGCCTCTCAATAGATAAATGATGTGTCTTAACTCTTAGAAGCATGGCAGGGGCTGGTACTGTGGCGTAGTGGGTCAAGCCTCCACCTGCAGTGCTAGAATCCCATATGCACCCTGGTTTAAGTCACAGCTGTTCCTCTTATGATCCAGCTCTCTGTTATGGCCTGGAAAAGCAGTAGAAGATGGCCCAAGTGCTGGAGCCCCTGTAACCAGGCAGAAGTCTCAGAAGAAGATCCTGGCTCCTGGCTTCAGATCAGTTCAGCTCTAGCTGGCCTCGTGGTCATCTGGGTAGTAAGTCAGTGGAAGGAAGACCTTTCTCTGTGTCTCCCTCTCTGTCTGTGACTCTACCTCTCAAATAAATAAAATCTTAACAAAAAAGTGTGGCAAATGTGCTTTTTTTTCAAAGCTTTTCCAGTATTCCCTCAGTCTCAATTTGCCTTCACCTGGGAAGGACACTTTTTTCTAGGGGATATATGGACACTTCATTGACTTTGCCATCAAACACAATTTTTGCAAAGAATTTAACTGCACTCACCATTTATCAGGAATAAAAGCATACATCACAATGATGATATCCTCCCTGAATGAGACAATTTGACATACTTGTGAAGAACATACAGGGCTAATATTTTTTAGTCCTTCTTGGGTTTTAGTGCAATGCATGCTTCATTTAAAAAATCGTCACTGATGCTACAAAGCAGTCTAGCTTATATAGGCCCCCTGCAATAAAAGGTGCTGAAATCAGTCAAAATAAGTATTATAAGCAGTGTCCTTACTCTATGGGGTCACATGCCTTCTATATTCTGTGGATCATCTGTGATGTCCATTACTTCTCAAGGGCTGTGATACAAGAAATTACCTCTCTTGGAACATTACCACGTTCCAGAAAAATTAAATTTAATAGCTATTAACTATGCTATACTGGGACTATAGTCGCCTACACAACGTGAACATGTGATTCTCCAAACCATTGTCTACTAGCATGTTAGCCATTGATACAGAACAGTAAAAACCTGAGCCTGGCAACTGAGGTTTCTTTAATACAGGATGGATCCAAACTTGGCATACTCCATTTGGCAGAGGGGATGACTCCAATGTCTACTGTCTATGTCCAGATGTCAGGATACTGTAGGTCACCCCTCTACAAACAAGAAAAAACATTTAAGTTCAGCTTGACGCAATGCTACTGACTGTTGATCTCATTAATGTTGGTCTGGATGCCTTCATTGGTTGCAATCCAGAGACCCAAAGTTGCCACAGACATTATCATTGGCAAACATGAAACTCTAATAACAAAAGTTTAATCCAAGAGTTATGGCTTAATATCTATTTTTTTTTTTTTTTTGACAGGCAGAGTGGACAGTGAGAGAGAGAGACAGAGAGAAAGGTCTTCCTTTGCCGTTGGTTCACCCTCCAATGGCCGCCGCGGCCGGCGCGCTGCGGCCGGCGCACTGCGCTGATCCGATGGCAGGAGCCAGGAGCCAGGTGCTTTTCCTGGTCTCCCATGGGGTGCAGGGCCCAAGCACCTGGGCCATCCTCCACTGCACTCCCTGGCCACAGCAGAGGGCTGGCCTGGAAGAGGGGCGGCCGGGACAGAATCCGGCGCCCCGACCGGGACTAGAACCCGGTGTGCTGGCGCCGCTAGGCGGAAGATTAGCCTAGTGAGCCGCGGCGCCGGCCTAATATCTATTTTAACACAATTCCTCAGAACCCATCTAGCCCAAACCTTGGAGAGTTGGAAGCTGCAATACTAGGCCCACCCACAAATGGGACTTTGTGTCAGATGGGTTTTACATCCTTGA